TGTTTGCACATTCCTAATGTAAACCTGGAGTYCATCTGTTATGTTGAGTATAATAGTCATAATACGTTGTATTATTTTTGAAAGACCTCAGCAATATGTTCATCTTGAATAATGCTTTTTAACATACATTTAGCATKATTGCATTTCAAATATTATTTGAGCAAGGCAAATTAGATTAATTTCCAGTTCTGTTGAAACTTTAATAGGATTTAGATTTGCTTTAACACCATCTTATGGTTGGATTAACAATAAATTAATAGATGGTGCATAGGTCAGGCAATTTTCCTTTTGACAGATCTGCTGTAAGGGGAAAAACATAGTTGCAATAAACTATAAGTTGTCCATGAGTATAAGATCACCTCAAACTTTTTTCTACTGTACTGCTTCAGATAAGGGAAATAACCAGCTGGCTAGATGTAATTTTCTAAACTGCTCATCTATAAGACCATAAAAACCTTGAGAGCTTTTTTCAACCAGAAGTCTATTTGCCCATTCTTACTACTCTACAGGAAATGTTCTTGTGGATTTTGTTTGCATTTTTTTAATGTTCTGTCTGTGATGTTGTAGGTCAACTGAACTGGATTGTTATCAAGCCCATGTCTAATTTGTGTCAACGTTGCATTTTTAAGCTGTCACCTCTTCAAGGACATGCACTAGCAGTGAATGCCACTTGTATTTGCCAAATGCAGAAAGAAAACCTCCTGACAGCAGAGGCTCTGCTTCTGCTGATATCTTTTTGATGGCACAGAAACCAGTCCTTGACATATGTTCCAAAAGCTTCAGTCAGTTTATTACCAAAGAAAAGAGRAAAAAAAGAAAAAAAGGCAGTATACCTGCCTGTAGTTAGTTGTGCATGACAATAAATTGGTGCTCCTTTCATCTTTGTTTTTTTCAGAATAACTTCCCTGATTTCTTCTGTTGGGTAGAAATAACCTGTGRAAGGAAAATATAGGAGCAAGCTTTTGACTTATGTACTTTATGTATGAAATAATTTATGTATTTGAATATAGATATTGTGTGAGTTGTGTGCTTTTTAAGACATGCCAATAGCAAAAACAAGGAAAAAATGCCAACTAAAGAAAGTGCAGCCTGTGTAAGGARTAAGGAGCCCTGTGGCCATGTTCTCTGATACTTTGAGCTACCTTGGACTGCTGATGGTTTGGTCTGAATATGAAGCACCAAACCCTCGATTTTCAAGTGTCATTTAATATGGAGTATATTAACATCTAATTGCCTGAATGGAAAGGCAAATCAGTCTTGTCCCAAAGATGGGTAACAGGAAGGAATGGGAATGAGGAAAAATTGGTGTCTCCTGAACTCAGTCTATGTTACCATACACAAATAAGATCAGTAGGGTTATTGTCATTCACCTTTCTCTWGTGCAGTTACTTAACGTGAGTTCTCTACCCTGCCCTGACCCCCTTGGTCAAACCATGGTGTATCTGCTCCACTGGACTGCTGTGGAAGCAGGATGGAGCAAAGGAAATGAACTATTTACCTGTCACAAGCCCTTCCTCATCAGGTTATTTTAAGGGAGGATCTTATTCTTCCTCACATAGATCAAGTTTGCATCAAAGAATAGCACTGAGCAAGTAGTCAGGAAGTGCTGGTAGCTCAGCAGTAACCAAAAGGGACTTGGCAGATGCAGTGAAGCCAAAATGTCATGATGTTCAACAGAAACTTCTTGACACAACTAATCCAGGAAATTCATGGGGCAAGTTTGAATAAATATCTTTTGAATATATTTTAATGTAACTAATATTCTGTCAGGTGATCCTTACCATCCACATRAGCCTTTTTAAAGAAACAAGGAAATAATCTGATAGGCTAAGAAAGGTGTCATGTAATSGACTGTAATTGGTGTGGGATTTTTATCTGCTCAAGGCAAAGCTCTGCCCCTGTTGGTGGCTCTGCACTGGGTACGTGCTCCACGGCAGAGGATGCTGCTCAAGCCCACTGACAGTACATTGTTGAACATTCCGCTCCATTTCTGCAGTGCTAAAAATAGTTGTCCTCATTTTAAAACACCAGGCTATTAGATTATTCCAAGGGTCTGGCATGCTTAGACTAATGGAAGGCGCATATCCATAAATTATCAAAACACTATGTAGTGTTTGACCATGCTGATTTTCCTTCTATTAAGAGGAGTTTCCTTGCTAGTAACCCTAGAGTACCAAGCCTGTTTTGTAAATCAAGAAGCTGGCAGTGCCCCAGTAAATTTAAAAATAAAAATATTTGGTTTTCATATTGCAAATGGAGAAGCATCTGACTGCTTCTTGGTGGCTTTGTTTTTGTGTTTTTTCTAATTTCATGGAATCATGTCTGAAAAGTGCTAGAAGTATTTTACAGTAATTGTTTTRCTTTCCCAGCCTTGAAGAGAATTTCATGAAGTTCTGGCATGTTTGCCACTGTAAATCTTGTTAGTGCCTAAAATAGTACAAATAGCAAAACGCWTTCCAAGTGATTGATAAAAGTTACTTTCAACAGTATTTTTTTGGTTCATTTTGTTTTGTTTTTGTTTAGGTAATGTGATTCCTAATTCATTTTTTGGCACCATGTTGTTTGACAATACAGGTAACAGTGCTCCTGATAAAGTTCACCTGTGTTACCTTTTGTGTTAAGATAGCTTCTCCTTTTATTTTTATTTTTTTTAGTGTGAAATTCCTTTATTTAGGGAGGGGAAATAGCTAAATGTGGCAGTCAAGGTACAAAAACTGATGTGAATGCATTCTAAGAAGGTTGTTAAGTGCACGGACACAAAGCACCTTACTCTACCTTCAATACTCTTAGGTGTGAACCAAGTCTCTATATAAGGTATAGAGTGCAATTACAACCTGCAAAATAAATACCTTATAAATATATTAAATATCATGTTTATAAATATACCACATATTTCCWAAACAGTTAAGGCAATCACAGCATCAATCATTTCAAATTTAATAAGAATCAATACTGTTAATATTGATGTAGGAACGTATTTTTGCATTGTTGTGTTGAAGAAATAATGATTTGTAGAACACTGATTAAACGATGCAAGACGGAAAACCTATGGCTTGTCTCCACAAAAAATACCGTGACTGTATTTTGGGGGTGKTTTTCTAGTTTACAGTAATCCCGTATAGCAGGGAAGTTAAATGTTATTATCTGGTAACAGACTATGAAGAATTTTTCACAATTCATCCTGTAAATCTAGAGAAAATGAAGGGCTAAGGATTACTTATAATGATTAATTCAATTTTTTCCCCAGTACACTACGACATATTGTTACATAGAYGAGCTGGAAAGATGTTGGAAACTGTGCCATGAGTAGGAGTTACAAAAATGCCATTTTAGCAAGCTATTTTAAGATGTATTTTAATTGTTGTATGTCATAAGGGCTTTGTATTTATTTGCTTAGTTATGCTTAGTTATTTGTATCATTTTGATGAATAATCACTCTTTTATTGGCTCTTTCTGTTTTTAAGTGAGACTGGAGTTTTTCCTTTGTCTCTGTTCTTTTTGTGTCTGTGAGGCGTTTGTCTCCTGCTTGGCTTGGAATCAAACAAGTGAACTTTCAAAACTTTCTTTTGTTGCTGAATACTGGCTTGGACAGAAAACTCGGTTGGGTGGTGTGCAAGTTACTGGGGCCAACTTCTGTCAAGGACATAAGATCCATGAATGGAATGGAGAAAGCATTTCGTTTTAGATTCTTTTCTTAAGTCTTCTAAGCTCCTATTTGAAGTTATATGAGCACAGATGAGTTCTACCAGAATTTAGCTCAGTGACTATAGTTTAATTATGACAAGAATTAATGTACTTCACGGTGGCATATTTCATGAATCTGTAAATGGAGGGTGGTTCTTAGGCTTGAGTGGCAGAGCTGGATTCTCACTAGRTCTGTAATTATTTAATACACTTTGCTAAGAAGGAATAGAAAAAGAATTTACAGCAGTATTTGATATTTTAATTCCAAATGAGATATTATTAGGCTTTTAACTATACCTTTTCCTTGCAAAGCTATATATTAAATGCAGAATTGAATTGTCTCTAGCTCTCAACTTAGAGTTCTTGATTTATTTTTTTSTCTTGTTGAAATACTTCTTATTCAAATATTGAAAATGAAGTTTACTGTATTACTCAGCTTGAATAGTAATCTTTTAAAAGCATTTTTGATTAACAATATGTTTTACTTATGCTTAGTTTTGGAATGTAACTTTCAAGCATCTAGTTCCCTGAATAGAATTCGCAAACTCAAATCAGATTCTTAATTTTCATGGGCAGTGTAAGGATAAAGTCATTTGGGAGCCAGGGGTGACAGTCAACAGTGCAGATGACTTATTTGCTCTTTTTAAAAAACATGTGTTAAAGGACACAGTAAATGAACAGCATATACAGAACATTCAATTGGGAAATAGGACAAGCCTGCCTGGTCACAGAGGATCAAGGTTTGCATTTCTACCTGCTGAGTAAGCTGGGCACTTGGAGATGAAGGAAAGATCTGAAACACCTCTGAGCAGAGCCTGGAAACCAGCAGTCAGCTTTGTAGGAACAGCTCCCTGTCAGATCTTTGGTTTAAGGTAGATCCCTGTGTGCTCCRGTTCCTGATAGGTGTTGGGGAGACAGTGGAAGCTGTGGTACACTTGTTAGGGTTTTAGGTACTTAGGTAGTGTGCAGTGTCTTCTGGAGTGTCTTCTTCTAAATAGGGCCTGAAATCAAGCTTTAGAAAGCTTTTCATGTGATCAAAATGCTCTATTTTTTGTTGTTGTTGTTGTCCAGTTGTCCGAAGCAACCTACAGCTATATCTGCTGCAGAATTAGATAACCTGTAATTGTTAATGGCTATTATTTTCAAAGTGAAAAAGATATTAACCAAATACAAGTTGGCAGACATAAATAACCCTAGAAATCAGCTACTCCATAGGAAAGGAATGAGAAGCAATCCGTGCTGAGATGCCTTTTTCTCTTAATTTAGCTGTCATGAGGTAGGTCTGTGAGATGATGGCTGTGTACAYTTTGTTTCAGGGGGAAGCTGGCTTAGTACATGCTCTTGGCAAACACAATCTTACTGGTTCCCAGGTAGAAAAGAAACCACATGAATACCCAACAAACAAAAGTTTCATTCTAACCATTTGCAGTCTCAACATATTTTTTACCATCTGTCCCRTATCTATCTAAATTGTACTTGAATTACATATCCAGTTTCTAAGTTGCATAATGTGACGTAGGAGGTTTACTATTGGCTTCTCTTTCCAAAGAGAAAGAACGTGGTGCTGTGGTACAAACCTGCCCAGCAGTATTATTTTGCCTTAAGAACAGTTGCCTGAGTCTTCAAACTATGCAAGTCTTTCCCAAGTACAAGACTGCAGATTCAAAAATTTGGAATTTGAGAATCTTGAGATCTCAGCAAAATGAGATGAGGAGCAGCACTTCTTCCTCTCCTCCATTTTAATCTTTTGCTCCTTTCCAGAAGTGGAATATTGTAGGAAGGCCAGAACTTGCAAAAAGAGACATGTATTATAGGCCTTGTTTGTAATACTTGTTAAAATATTCTCTTTCCATGGTCAGATTTTTTGTCAATTGCAGCTGTTTTTAATGGCAAATATTTGGAATTAAATCCCAGTGCATGTCCAGCTAATTCCTTTTAGCAAAGTTGTAGGGGAAATAGCTCTGCTGCTTCAACAAATTAAGAGACCACACAAAAAAAAACCGATTATTTTGTTGTTATTAAAATTTCAAGAAAATGTTATGCAACATGACCTTGATGCAATTTGTGTATCTTGAGGGCAGATACTTCCTGTAATATAGCACAGGGGGAAGGAAGGAAGGAACTTATTTTCTGCAGATGAGGTAGCCAGCATTTTGTTCAGCAGCAAGCTTACCACAGTCTATCAATTTCTACATCCAAAGCCAGGATCTCGCTGATTTGTACTGCAGGCATATTTAAAACACTGAAAATCAGACCAGCAGTCCTGCAGTGAGTATCAAGACAAGCAATCAAGGATTGTCCAGGAAAAACTTGTGTGATGAAACATTTTGCATAGCTTAATATGAAAATTTTGCCACCAAAAGGAGAATTTAAGTCAGTCATAAATGTGTTACTTTTCAAATTTCACTTTTTTATTTCTGCAGYATTTGAATTCTTTGTAAGTTACCGGTGGCTAATACTGTTCTTTCTTGTTTTGTGCTGTCAACAGGAAATTTCCTAAGCTTCTTTATCTATATTTTGTGGACTATAGTACTGATCTTCTCTAATTTGTTGTTTTGTTTTTTTTTTTTAAATTCAAATATGTGCAAAAAATCTAGATAAATTCTGAAACATAAGGCATTAGTTAATCACTAGCATTGGTACAGGCAGAGAGTTGACTGGTTGAACAGCAGCATTGCTGAAAATTATGGGGAGGTAGACATGAGACTGAATTGGGAGCTAACAGTGTTCTACTGGAATAAAATAAACCAAATATTGGATTGTACAATTAAAACTACACCTAGCAGAGCAGGGTAGATATTTTTGCTTCTTTGCTTGGTGGTTCTTGGTATGCTGTGTCATGTTTGGGGGACTAGTCCACCTTTACTTCCACAAGAAAATGCGGAGAAACCAGACAGAGTCCAGCAGGGAATTCGTTTATGTTCAGGAGCCTAGAAAACATCTGAGCATCTGAGTTTCAAGGGCAGAAATTTGGCAAAGAGGAAGCCAAGGAATGATTGAGACCATCCTGTGAACCTGAGACCAGCTGGTGAGCCTTCAAGGACAGCTTCCTAAAACCCCAAGAACACTCCATGCTGCTTTACAGGGAGTTGAGTGAGTATGGCAGAAGGTCAGCATGGATGAACAAGATGCTTCTGACTGACCTCAGACAGAAAAGAAAGGMAACAGTGGAAGCAGGAGTGAGCTACCCAGTAGGAATTCAGAAACACTGCCAGAGCATGTGGTGATGGAGTGAGGAAACCAGARACTCATCTGGAATTGAAACCAATGAGAGAGTTTAAGGATAACACAAAGGGCTTCTGTTAAGTATATCCGTAGCAAAAAGAAAGCTAAAGAAAACATTGACCTGCTTAATGGGGTGCGGGACATGGAAAAGGCCAACAGTATCCAATTTTTTTTTTCACCTTATTTGTTTCCCTAATAAGTATTGCCCTCAGACCTCCCAGGTTACTGAAGCATGCTAGCAGAGAGTGTGATGATGAACCCTTGCCCATTGAAGRGAGAAGAGAGTGTTAAGGAGCACTTAAGCTACTTGGATGTTTGCAAGAAACCAAATATTATGCATCCAGGGGTGCTGGGGCAGCTGGCTGATGTCACTGCAGAGCTGCCCTCTGTCATTACCAAAAAATTATGATGACTAGGGAAGGTCACTGATGACTGCAAACAAGCAAACATCATGTCCATCTTAAAGAAGGATCCATTGAACTGTAGGCCACTCACCCTCACCTCCGTCCCTGGAAACATTATRTAGCAAATGCTGTAAGTCATGTCTGAACACAGGAAGGACTGGAAGGTGACTGTGAACAGCCAGCGTGGRTTTACCAAGGACAAATCAGACTGACCAACCCTCTTGCCTGCTCTGATAAAATGACTGTCAGCATGGATTAGGGGAGAGCAGTTAATGCTGTATGTCTTGATTTCAGCCAGGCTCTTGACACAATCTTCAGACAKCCAATGATACTAGAAACTGTGAGGTTCTGACTGGATAAATGGACAACAGTGGGTAGAAGATTGGGGTCAAAGGTGGAATGATGCAGTCTGACTGCTACCTAATAACTAGTGTCCATGAGGCAATCCTGGGGTAAATATTATTTAATCTATTTATTAATAATGTTGATGWTGGGGTTCTCAGCAAGCTTGTGGGTGTTATCAAATGTGGGGAYGTAGAGCAGTGGAAGGTGGGGCAGGAAGGATACTCTCAACATGCTGCAGAAATGAGCTRACCCAGAACTCATCCAGTTAAGCAAAGACAAATGCAAAGTCCTGCCTCTGAGATGGAATAGCTTCATGCCACAGTACAGGTCAGGTGCCAAATTTCCAGATTGCGGCTCTACAGATAGGGAGCTGGGAGTCCTGCTGGATGCCTGTGTTTTGAGTAAGGTTGAAGGCATCTTGGGCAGCCTTAGCAGGTGCATGTCTGGCAGATCAGGGGCAGTGATTGGTGAGTGCTTGTGAGACCTCATCTGGAGTTCTGCATCCACTCTGGAGCTCCYTGGAGAGGATAAAGAGCAGCTCATTGGGGTGAGTCCTGCAGAGCCTGCTRTGATGGCCAGGGCTTGGAGCCCATGGTGTAAGAGGGGAGGCTGAGGGAGCTGGGCTTCAAGGGGAGGTGATTTGGAAAGTGGGGGTGGGTGGGTGATGTGCAGACTCATTGCTGTCTGTAAGTACTTGCTGCGTGTGGAGAAGCCTGAGTCAGACTCTTAYCAGAGGTGTACTATGAAAGGATGAGAAGCAATGAACACAAGCKACAATCAGAGAAATGCTGACACTCAGAATAATTTTTGTATAATGAATTTGRGATTGAGTAAATACACAAATGGGAAAGTTACATTAAGAAAACACTTCCATGAATTCATTAAAATAAGTGTTAGCTGTGTTGGGTRTCTATCCAACATCTGGGGAAGAATGGGAATCATAGAACAACCCAGGCTGGAAGTGGCTTCAAAACAATATCTGGTCCGACCTTTCATAAAGAAAGGAAACTAGATGAACAGAACAGAAATCGTATTCATTTGTAAATTATTTCAGAAATTAGCCTCTCATTTTTAGGTGAGGACATACGGAAGTTTATTTCACTGGGCACCATTTTGCATGCTTAGTCTTGGGCTTGCTTCTAAAATTGAGCTGTTGATTGTATGAGCCACACCCACCAAAGGAAAAAGCAAAAGGCAGCCACTGTAGGTGGGCGATGAAAAGTCCAGAACTGTTTTATAATTTATACTTCTGCATACCTGCAAAGCTTTGAATTTAGTTCCCTGATGTGTAGTATACGATCAGTATACATTACTTGAAAGATCTGACAAATGCTTCTAGAAATTTTGCAAGTTATAGCCAGCTGTTCTAGTTGAACACACTTAAACCTTAGAATTCTATTTAAGGAAATTACACACTCTGAAGGGTGAAAGAATGTTTAAACATTGCTATGTCTAATTTTTTTAAAGGAATTTTAAAAAACACCATAAGCTTTACTTTGGAAATTTTCCACTCTTTTAGTCTACAAATGTATAAAAATCATGTGTGTTGTATTGAGGCCGTGAGACTGAATCAGAAGACTGGCAAAGACTGGATGGTTTGAGGGAGAAAGTTTGGATTTTTTTAATTAGGTCATGTTTGTGCTGCCTGTATGTAATTTTGTCCAGCTGTCTTCCAAAGGTCTCACAAAACATGCAAGTATAAATGAATAAAAACCTAAAGTAGGTGTTATTCTTGTATAATATAGACAGAGTGCAGACTGTATTTGATGAAAATTCTWTCATAGTAAGATTGTACACTTTGATCCTTTTCTGAGCTAAAAGTTAGAAAACTGGAGCTGGAAAGAGCATTATAACAGGCCTTTTTTATTGAAATAGCATCAAACAAAGAATTCAGTGCGCTGAAATAACCTGAGCTTGAGTTAATATTTTAAAACTTACCCCTTCTGTGAGAAAGAGAAAACTTTCTTTGTTACTTGTTTTGGTTTGTTAATACTTGGCTAATTTGATATGGTTTCCAATGTAAAAGAAATTGTTTTTCTTTTCATAAATCATATCTTTATATTTTTCAATTGATCTGAGTTGGAGACCTTCACAGTTGACTAGTYATRTTTAAAAATTAAAATGAAAGTATTMATAGGAATAAATGTATTAAAATTKGTTCTGYTGAAGAATAGAAGGACTGTAATAACCAGGTYTAGGATCAATAAAAAGTTGAGAATTTTTAAAGCTGAGAAAAYCCCTTAGGATGAATGGAGAAAGAAATTACTCCTATTAATTGACAAAACTACAGAAAAGCCGTATCATTTTTTGTAAATATTTCACACCTTTTTGAAAAAGAGACAGTTAACATCCAAATTATTTCATTTTTGTCTTGTAATGAAAGTTCAGCACAGCAAAATTATTTGAAAGCATACAATTACTTGAACAATGTTTATGTTTGAGATTTGTATTTTATCCTTTTGTGTTCCAGGGTGAACGTGGTTTTCCAGGTAGTAAAGGTGAAGAAGGTGAAAAGGTAAACTACTCTGTCCGTATTATTTATTGGTTTAACAATTTGATACATAGCCAGCCAAGCAGAGCTTTGTTCTCAAGGTCTTCCTGAACCCTTTAATTAATAAAATTCTTAAATTTTTGCTATGTAAATGCTTAAGAATATGGAGTTCTTTATGTGTTTACTGTGCGCCATTTGGCATTCTTTTAGATTTGTTTTTTCCCCCCTAAGAAAAACTTTTATAAGAAGCCAACAGAACTTCTGCAGTGGCCAGAAATAGTTCAATGGCTTGTATTAAAATGGGAGCTAAACTGGCAATTGTGGAAGGTCGTTTTGGCTGAGAAAATGCCAGCACTGGGTGGCTTTAGATGTTGCAACTCAATCTTCTTGAATGGCTTCTGACAGGTAAGTCTTCCAGGTCATCGGAGGCAAGTGAATCTGTGTTGAGGGACGAGTGGAAGGAAGAGCCAGACATGCACTTGTCTGGGGAATTATGGTAACAGTGGTGATAACTGTTTATGGTAACAGTGGTGATAACCATAACCAGTTTATGGTTGTAACTTTGGTTCTTAACCGTGTTCCAGCCTGTTTACTGGTTTCTCACTAGTTTTGGCTGGTTTGGATTAGGTAACCTGAAATAAGTCTTTTTTTGAATCATAGRTAGTTTCTCTGTGCTTCAGCCCACTGTCTAAAAAGGATGCAGAAAAGCATTTCTGCTGAATTTATATCTCATAAAGCTGAAGAATGACAGAAACTGCTATTCTGGCAATATTCAGACTGATGAAAATAGAGAGTAGGTGGCAGCTTGTGAATTTAAAGAAGTGCAATATATTTGTGAGTTAGGCTGCATTGGACATGGATATATTCACTCACCCACTATACCTATTCAGAAGTGTCAGACAGCTTTCCAGTGTTCATATTTTAAAGAAAGCATGCTATGTATTAACAGAATTGAAGCAGATTTAAAATGTGGAGGGTTTTTTAGGAGGAAGTATCCAACTAACCAAGAAGGAAGAATTATCAGAAGTAAAAACCAGCATCCACAGCAACTAACATTTATAATGTGAGGATTCAGCCTTTAAAAAAAAAAAAAAAGGACTTGTTAAGCTTGAGTGTTTCCAACTCCACTGACAGATCTTATTTCCTCGGTAGTATCATTATTCATCAATTCTGAAGGGCTTGTGGATTTTTTCTYTTTTTTCTTCCTCCCCATAATTGCTCTGCAGCTGTGCTGTGCTCTCCTCGRGTTTTATGAATAAATCGTGTTTGGGCACAGGCACATGGTTCCAGCTGTTGCTGCCACTCTCTTTGCTTGATTTCCCTTATTTTAAAGCAGAGATAAAATGACCCAACCACTGGCAGTCACATTTTTCTTATGTGTAAGCTGAATCAGCATGTTTAGCCCATATTTTTTTCTTTTTCCCTCATGAATTCAGAGGATAATTGAAAGATCCCATTTTAAAATACTTCCAGTGTAACCATTAATGGTGCATTCAACTGTCCTTCAAATTAAAGGAAATAAAAGATTGGAAGGATCTTTATTTACCAGTGATCACTCAAAATAATTTGGGCTCTCATCAGAAGCTACACATGTCATTTGTGTGGAAAGTGCATGTTTTAAGGTTCTAGAAATTGGGTCTTTAGCAGTTATTCAGTTCATCTTCAATTCAAATGGTTGTTTAAGAATAACAGTGYAGAGTTTCAGCTACTAAACTCCAGTATAAAACAGTTATCAATACATTTGCATTTTAACATAGCAGCACAAAATAAAATAGTTGTACTAATTTGTGTGTAATGCGTGTGATTACAAAGCCTGAAATGGAAAGTTTTCCTATTACCAAAAATTCTGCCTCATAATGCATATTAAGGAACAAAATTTTTGCAGAGTTAGTTTTGCAATTTATCACCTAGGGTGGAACACAGCTGCCTCAGCATGGGATATTTGCCATTCCAAACTCTCCCCAGAAGTACATGGAAATGAACCATCCCGTGTTTTTGATTTAGTGAYCCTGTCATTCCATAGGATTGAATACTTGACCAACTCAGCCTTATACCTCTTGTTTCACCAGATGAAAATAGTTGTTTATTGTATTAGGTTCTGCTTTGGCAGAGCAAGCCTTGGGAACATCAGAGAGACATAAACAACTGAGGTGGCAGTGGTGATCATTKGTACATTATAGTTATGGGAAGCACCAATAATGTAAATTATTGAGGGATCTTCTTGTATGTAGGCTGTTTAAGGGTTTCTCTGCCACACTTGGTTCTTCTTGAGGAATCCAAAAGTCTTGTTCTGCCTTCCTCTGGTTTTGCTCATGGTTGAACTTGGTTTTCTGCTACAGAAGTCAGTAGTGGTAAGGGAGATACAGACTGTGTGCAGGTATTATGCTGCAAGTTTTCCCTCCAAGGGAAATRCTCTCTGTGAATTTATTTTAATTCTGCTTTGTATTCTGTTTTCTTTCTGTTACTTAATGACAGTCTTACATGATAGTCTTATAACTGCAACAAAAACATTGATTTACCCTTTTATAGCATGACTGAAAAAGTATATACTGAGAGCAGTTTTAATTGGTTTGCTGCCAAGAGGGCAGATTATGTCATGTGGATCTGTTCTCTTTCTAATACTGCTTAGAATTTTAATTTTATGGTATAGGATAGAAAATATGACTTACATTTCATGACGATAGGAAGTCAGAAGGTGCTGACAATAACTGGAAGAATACCTTAAAATCCAGAATGTTCTTGGTAAATCAGATATGTAGCCTGTAAAAAAATAAAGAGCATCAAACATAGAAAGAGTAAGAGCAAGAAATTACTTGTAGGGGAGAATAAATCTGAACTGCAAAAAAYCCAAATCAATTATTTAGATCAGAAGCTGAATAAAGGTAAATAAAATTGCAACTAAAAGACTTTTACTAATGTGGTCTAAAGTGAAATGTTGTCTGCAACACTAATTAAAAAGTCCTGTGCTATTTGGTATTAATATGGCTTCAAGATTTTGAAAGGCRAGCACTGAGAATGGCTCAGGAATACAGAACCTTTGAGAAGGATTGCATGATCGACTCTTMATGTAGCATCAGCTGAAAAGAAATATTTAAAAAGACTTCACATACATAATATTGCTGTGAGGAGGACAGGAATGGTCTGTTTGTGCATCTGTAGTGCATGCAGAGMAGTGGCCTGGAAGTGCAGCAAGGAAGATGCTATGTAGCCTTTAGGAAAGGGTTTTTAATTTTAATTCTTTTGTTTATTACGGAAGTAATTTCCTCTTCCAGTGGTCTGYACTTTTTATCCTGGTAAAGCAAAAGGGAATAAAATAAAGGCTTGCTTCATGAAAACACRGGAAATGAGATTATCTTAAATGACTTTGCCATTTTCTGTTAATAGCATCAAAATTATGCAAGAAATCACACTTATTTCTAATTGGATAAGCACAGAGAACAGCAAGACCGTTTCTCTTTGAACATATATACTTGTTTTTGATGTCCAGTTAATAGTTTCCTGTGATAGGACAGTGAAGCTGTGGAACAAATTGCCCAAAGCAGTTTTGCAGCAGCAGCTTTTCCTTGAGGTTTTCAAGACAAATCCTGAGCAACCTGGCCTGATTAACAGGTTTGGATCTGGATTTCAGCCTCTGTAGGTTTCAAGACCTGAGACCTATTATTATTACTTATTTTGATACTAGAAGTATGTGCATCTCTTGGGAGTTGGAACAGGCCCAAATTCTGAATCACAGAATTACCTAGGCTGGAAAATTCCTTTGAGATTGAGTCCAGCTTATAACCTAACACTACCTCATCAACTGGACCATGGCACTGAGTGCCACATCCAGTATTTTTTTAAATACTTCCAAGGATGGTGATGCCACCACCTCCCTGGATAGCCCATTCCAATGCCCAGTCACTCCTCCTGTGAAGAACCTTTTTCTAATGTCCAGCCTAAACAACYAATTAAACAAATAACCTCTAAGTTGACTTTTCCCTTTGTTAAATCTGGAATTAATTCTCTTTCCTCCTGGTTATTGCTTCCTCTGGTCACTCCAGTTGTACTCTTTAACCAAGTTCCCCGTTTTTTCTATCATCTTGTCCAACTTTTTGGTTAGAATCTGTGTTTTCTTTATTACACCTCACAGTTATTGTTATTTGTGTCAGTGAGTTAGAACACTGAGAATTCAATTTTCTGGAACACATGGAATGTGAACGCCAAATAGATTTCATTAACGTTTGTCAGCATGTCTGGAACAAATCTAAATTTTATTTGAAATAGTGGTGATAAAACAGCCAACACATTTACATGTCAGTTATAACTGAGCAAACATGGTTTGTCACTGATAGATAATAGTAATTTCATGGAGCTGGGAATCTTAAATTCCTTGCCTTGCTTARCTATTTCAAAATTCTAGTATAAAATCCTTTTTTCTGTTTTAAGTCAGAGAGGCAAGTAAGGTATGCTGTTATGTGAGGAAATCACAGGACTAGCTGKTATCTCAGAATACTCAGGAGCTGTGACAGTAGGAGGATTTCTGTGCTCTGGAGAGGGACTCTTCAATTGCAGTTTTGCTGGATTGGCTGCTTTCCTTCATGAAGAATATTCCCTTTCATCTCGCACTTGAAACTGAGGATTTTAAAACTGGATGTCACTGGACCTGAGCTATGTAGCAGTTTATATGCTGTGATATGCACCTGTATTCACTTGATCTTTGGTAAAGTTCTCTAATTTTATGTTTAATTCTTCTCAGTAAAATAATATTAATTAAAAAGTTACATGTATTAGGCTAAAGGAAAYATTGAGAATAAAACCATAATGATAGTTATTTATTATGTCCAGAGTTTCATTATCTTATCTTTACATGTTGCATGTCTTAATTGTGCTTTTGCCTGTGTATACATGTGAAAAGAAAGGAAGAGTCTGGGGCTTTTCCAGCCTAAATGTAAAAAAAGATTTCATCTGCTTAATTTTCTTCTAAACGCAGGATGTTCTTTGTATATATTTACTATTTTTTGAAGTACAATTTGAATTATCCCAGG